AACCCTAAACCCTAACCCTAAATCCTCAGTTGACCCTGCATGTCGCCAAGATCTGGGAAGCCGTCGGCCGAAAGCCACAACAGCCGACTCCGCAAGCTCCGGCCTTCGGCCCGGCTTTGGGGTTCAGGGGTTGAGGGGTTTTTGGGGCTTTAGGGTTTAGGGGTTTTGGGTGTTAGGGCTTAGTAGGGGTTGAGGGTTTAGGGTTTAGGGTTTAGAGCTTTAAGGGCCTTTGGGTTTAGGTTTAAGGTTTGGGGTGCAGGGTTTATGGTTTATCTTGAGTCTCTAAAACGCTTCAGCCATCTGTCACACAAGGGTAAGAGCTTCAGAGAACGCCCTACACGCTGATGTTGTTCTAGAGCCGTAGCTCCTGCACCTGGCCCTAAACGCTGATGTTGTTCTTACAAGGCTTGATTCTGAGCATTGGGAGTATAAACTGTGATTGTCATTTACGGTTATTGTCAATTTCACTGTCATTTTCGCTGTCATCGTCATTAGTTTTATTGTCGTTCTCATTGTCATTTAGCAATGTTAACTACTCCTGTGTTTTCCTCTTCTTCTTAGGCCTACTATTGTTGCCAGTCTCACCATACCCTAAACCCTAAACCCTAAACCCTGAATCTATGATGGTTCTTACCCTTGTCAGCAGTATTACCCTTAACCCGAAGAAACGGGAAGCGCCAGAACCTTTTCATCCAGGCGCCCGCTGTGGTGCTTCCAGAGCAACCCAACGAGGCTTTGGTACGGGGTTTGGGGTTTAGGGGTTTTGTGGGTTTGGGGGTTTAGGGGTTTAGGGACCCTCAACCCTAAACCCGAAACCCGAAACCCGAAACCCTAAACCCTTCACCCTAAACCCTAGACCCTAGACCCCAAACCCTAAACCCTAAACCCTAAACCCTAACCCTAAACCCTATTTGAGGTTTAGTGGGGGCTATGCTCAGAGCCCAAAGCGAAGGAGCCAGGACCGCCGGGGGAGCCGGATTTGTCTGACAGACACGGCAGCAAAAGCGGCGGTGGCCTCAGATTTCACGTGTAGGTTTAGGGTTTAGGGTTTAGGGTTTGAGAACACATGGTGTTCGGTGTTCGGGTTTCGGGCTAAGGTTTTCAGGGTTCGGTCGGCGGTTCAAGGCGTAGGAAGGTTAAGCTGCTGCGGCTGAGCACCGAGGCCTCTGCAATGTGGGCAGCTACTTTGCGTGCCAGAACTTAGCATAGCAAGACCATGCTCCAGTTGCTGTCATTTAAGACCCTAAACCCTTACCCCTCAACAGGTTAGCAGCGACCCTGAATCCCTGAAGCCCTAAGGGCATAAACATACCCTGAGCGATACAAACCCTATCCGAAGAGCTTGGTCTTGTGGATATTGTGTAATTTTAAGTAGCACTTGTATCTAGACGATACGGGGAAGCTACTCCAAGCCTTCCCCAGAGAGCCCGGTATCCCTTGCATAAGGAATCTACCGGACATGAGAAGGAGCTTCACATTGATGGCGATTTGAAGTATATTCCTTCTTTAGTTAAGGGGGCATACTAATCTTGTGATACTGTTGATGGACAAAATTCTGCATGACCCAAATATAGTATAGTATCATAAATCCTATAGTTCAGGCATATAGGGTCATGCAGGATTTTGTCCATCAGCCGTATGAAGCCTACTCCTTAATTGAGGGGTATTGGGCTCTCTGGGTCCCGGCTTTGGCGAGAATCTTCCGTGCCCGAAGGGCACCAGATGCCAAAGCTTTGCACACTGCCTGGTCGCGAGCAGGCAGTAACCGGTAAACCCTAAACCCTAAACCCTAAACCCTAAACCAACTCCCATAGTTTAGGTATATGGGGGTTTCAGAAAATAGGGGACCCTAGTTTCGTACCCTAAATAATAGGATCCTGATTATAAGGACCCCAAAATAGGGTACCCCTAATTTTCCGAAACTCCCATATAAGGTCATGCAGGATTTTGTCCATCAACCGTATGACATCCTGAGACAGGCAAAAAAATTGCAAGCCTCAGCTTGCGAGCTAGCTTCAGCGGTCGGATTTTCCCTTTCGCAAGAGAGGCATCTGGCAGAGGTTTAGGGTTTAGGATTTAGGGTTTAGGGTTTAGGGTTTAGGGATTTAGGGTTTAGGGATTTAGGGTTTAGGGTTTAGGGTTTAGGGTGCTTGCCAGAATCTTGTGTCATGGTACTCGTCACGAGTGCAAGAAGACCTAAACAAACTCGCACTGGGAACAGCGACCGCGCCTCGAAAAAGGCAGGGGAAGACCCGGGCCGGCGTGAAATTTCGATTCAAACCCTCAACCCTAAACTCTTGGTTTGGGGTTTAGGGTTTAAGGTTTAGGGTTTAAGGTTTAGGGTTTAGGGTTTAGGGTTTAGGGTTTAGGGTTTAGGGCCCTAAACCCTAAACCGTCTGTTGCATCTGCCGTTTGTGGTGAGCACAGCACTGCTCGTGGGCTGAGGGTAGTCGTCTGTCGGAATTCCGGGCACAGCTGCGAGGGCCATGAGCATCCGGTGCTGTCGTGGCACACTTTCTTCAACGATAGTAGACGTACGGTTGATGGACAAAATCCTGCAAGACCCTAAGGACCCTAACTATGGGAATTATGGTATATTCCTTATCATGGGTAATGCAGCATGTATATCATCAACCGTGGCGCTTTAAACCCCGCACCCCAGAGTGTTAACCCTTCACAGCAAGCCCTAAACTGAGTCAAACACATCTGGCACTTCTCGTCGCGATGCAAAGCGATGGGCCACGGCGATAAAGGCCATTTGGGGTGCTGAACCCTAAACCCTAAACCCCAAACCCTAAACCCTAAACCCCAAACCCTAAACCGCAAACCCTAAACCCCAAACCCTAAACCCCTAATCTCCTAAACCCTAAACCCTAAACCCCAAACCCTAAAGGTCCACCAGAGATCTCGCTGGAACGGCTGCGCAGTCTGCCGGATGAAGAGAGAGCCGGCTGCTGGAAATCGTACAAGAATCCAGGTGGCAAATAAGGTTTGGGGTTTAGGGTTTAGGAGTTTAGGGGTTTAGGGGTTTAGGGGTTTAGGGCAGTTTAGGGTTTAGGAGTTTAGGGCTTTAGGGTTAACGGTGTAGGGTTTAGGGCTAAGCCTTTTCAGCGCTTGGGGTGTAGGATGGTGGAGGGGATGGTGCTGTAGGCCGTACGGTGAATTTTCCTGATCGTCTTACGGCCTCATAGAGGAATATGGCCAAAACTTAAACCCTAAGCCCTGAACCCTAAACCCCACAGCTAAACCCTAAACCCCCAAAGTGACAGAGAGAAAGCTGTTGGGGTACTATTGGCCCTCTCTGAGGAAGCTCGGGGGTCGTCGTCGCCGAGGTGTGGCTAAGGGTGCAGCAAGAGAGTTCCTGCTGAGAAGCAGCTTGTCCACGGTTTAAGGTTTAGGGCGTTTAGGGTGTCATAGTTGGGCAGGGTGTTTGGGGGCTTCAGGGGTTTGGGTCATTCGGTGATTCATGGGGGTTTGGTGATTAGTAAGTTTCTTTGTCATCGTTGGGTAACACTTTACATGTTTCTGGTTACTTAACCGCTCATAAAGGAATAGAAAGTTGTATGTCTACTGTGATCCCAGCCATGGACTCCCTAAGCCCTAAACCCTAAACCCTAAGCCCTAAACTCTAAACCCTAAACCCCAAGCCCTAAAACCTAAACCCTAAGCCCTAAACCCTAAACCCTTAACCTTAAACCCTAAACCCTAAAGCCTAAACCGCTAGGCAAGCTGGATCACGAAGTGGTGGAGAGCATCCTCTACACAGCCACGGGGGAGACCAGGCTCTTGTTAAGGAAGTTACTGTAAGCTTACCATGCAAAGGAGATCCGATTATTTCTTATAGATCCCTATGATGAGAGCTTGAATTAAATTCACTTTAAACAAGAACCCAGGAGAATGGGGAAACTGGGGAGGAGGTGGATTTCGAAAGCTTCTGCGTGGCCTGCCGCCTGGTTTCGCAGATGCAAGAACTCGGCACCTTTGCGTCCATTGCAGACGTCCCGGGCAAGCCTCCCTACTTCGAGGAGGCAGTAGGGGCAGAGCAGACCCCGACTGGCGAGTTTGACTTCGAAGGGGTTGCCCTGGGCATCAACACAGGCACATTCTGGCACAACTGGCATCTATGGGGTTATATAAGGGCCGCAATACGTAAATTAAGCTGGGTTTATCGGGATGTCTCACCCTCAACCCTAAACTTCCCTGGCCCTAAATCCTGAACCACATAGTTGTGGTAGGGAGCCCAAAAACAGAACTACTGTTGATGGACAAACGTCTGCATTGCCCAAAGAGAGTATAGTACTATAAATCCCATAGTTTAGGTATACAAGGTCATGCAGCATTTTGTCCATCAGCCGTATGACACTAGGCTTGTGCCATTTACAGAGCCACCCTGGAACCCCAGCAAGTCCCTGAGGTGCAGCGGAACCGACAAGCATTCCGACAGGGGTGCTGGATGTGGATGCCCCGATAGGAGGCCGGTTTAGGGTTTGGGGTTTAGGGTTTAGGGTTTAGGGTTTAGGGGATTGAGGGTTTGGGGCTCCAGCAGACCTTGGCTGATGTATGTTTACAGACGTACATGCTGTGAGAGTTGCTCAGCGGAGATATCAATCTGAAGGTACCCAGGCACACCACGAGTCGTCTCGCGGCACCAGCGACACTTTCTCTCAGAGGCTTGGTTCTGGAGATGCATCCAGGGAGAATAAACGGAGACGTGAGGCTTTTCTTTGCAACCCTAAACCCTAAACCCTAAACCCTAACCCTAAACCCTAAACCCTGAACCCTAAACCCAAACCCCTAAACCCTAAACCCTAAACTGTGCTCCAGTGGCAGGTTTGCCGGCAGCTCTGCTGCCATGGAAACGATCCTCAGTGGCTCGGCATATTCAGCTACCACTACTATTCCTCAGGGCTCCTTGGTATCATTGTGCTATAAGTAACCTCGAAACCCCCATTCTATTTATTCACGCGCCCTAAACCCTAAACCCTAAACCCTAGGTGCGGCGCAGCCTTCCGATCCCAGGCCAGGACAGTGCTGCGTCTTTGAGGATCTGGCGCTCGAATTCAGGGTTTTTTGCTGATACTGTAGAAGCCTGAATAATTACCTACATTATGCCTTAGGGTTCCCTGATATCAATATGCCATAGTGGAGCCCAAAACCCTATTCTAATTATTAAGGCCCCCACACCAGAGCTTCGGGTTGATCTTGGGGTTTGGTGTTTAGGGTTCAGGGTCCAGGGTCTCGGGTTTAGGGTTTTGATCAGGGGCTTTGGGGTTTGTTTTCGGTTTTGGGGTTTATGGTTTGGAATTTGAGGGTTTTGGGTCTAGGGATTTTGGGTTTGGGGTTCAGGGTTTAGGGTTAGTGTGCTCAAAAGGAACGACAATGCAGCAGCCATCATAGTAGTTGCGCAATCATACCCGCAGTTGCGATAGCAACGAAAATAATACGCATCACATTAAAGGGTTCCGTAAAGGGTTCTTTAGAGGGATCTATAAGGGTTTAGGGTTTTAATGCTCATGGGACTTGGTAACTAGGGTCATAAAGAAGGTAATTAGCTATAAAAGCAAGTCCCTGCAGCCCCATTAGGGTACCCGTAACTTTGCTTGATTGCTAGGTCCGCGGTCATCCATATTTTCACAATACTACTACGAATAATCCTAACAGTGCTATTAGTACAGATATCCAAAGTACTTATCATCATGAGACTGATAATGATAGCATTCATCGTGATGGTAATAAGCGATTGTCAGAGTAGTTTTAATTTCAATCATGAAACAAGAAGGAGAATAACAGCAGCAATAATCACCCTAGGCCCTAAACCCGTGTGGCCCCCTTATCGAAACCTCTAAGGAACCCTACACCCCCTCTCTCCTCTCAACCCTAAACCCTAAAACCCTAAACCGTCGCTTCTCCTGGCCAGGCTGGTCCGCCTGGAAGGCGAGCTGGTGAAGTCCAGGAAGGAAGTCGAAGTCTACCTGGGTGAAAAGGCTCGATTGGAGGAGTGGCTTTGGGTTTAGGGGTCTAGGGTTTCGGGTTTAGGGTTTGCAGTAGGGTTTAGGGTTTAGGGTTTAGGGGTGTAGGGTCCAGTGCCAGTTATTTGAGTTAGCCTCAGATTGTGTTTTTGTGCCGCCGTGGCTGAGGAGAGCTATCTGTAATAATTCGGCGAGTCTCGGATGTACTCTTCAGCCCAGGGGTTTAGGGTTTAGGGTCTTGTGCCGCATTTGGCCCAAGAGACATGAAAGCCTGCAACATGCGTGGCTGACGAGACTACCTGCTCCCCACCCAGCAGCAGGCGGATGACCCTTGCCGGGTCCTTAGAATCTGATGCCAGCAAGGGGACCAGTGAGCAGCACTATCATATTATTCTACGTATATGTATGTATGCATGTATGCATGTACGTATGTATGTATATCTGTATATCGACCGACTGAGTGGATCGTAGCCAAGGACCCATGTACTTCACCTACACAGGCTGACCTCCACAAGGCGGTCAGCGACGGAAAGCCAGACGTGGTGGACACCTTAATTCGTTCCGGGTCCTTGTTGGATGCAATTTTACATCTTTGTTGTAATGAACACCCTTTTTGGGATTAAAAAGGGTCGTTTTTAATGTAGCCCCAACCGGGAATCAGGTTCCCGGGCGGATCCCACACAGCTCGACAAATTTGGTCGGACGGCTCTGTTTGCAGCAGTCTTGAATGCACGAACGTTGGCCCATGGCCCCTCTCTTGATGATTCCCGCCGTTGCATCGACATCCTCCTCAAGTCCGGATGCCGATGTGATTCGGTGGACAAGGACGGCTTTGACATTCGGAATCACCTGCAGCAGCTACTGGATTCCGTAGACATACACCGCTGCAACATTCCAAAGCTCTTCCTCCCCCTAGACACTGTGCACGATGGCGTGCCGACGTGCACGAAGACACCACAGGAGGTGGTGGCGTTGTGGCTGGGTGCTTATTTAAGGAATTTAACTTACGTTGCAAGAATAAGGAAACGAAGTTATGTACTATAGATCCAAATAGTGGTAGCTTAAACTAAGTTCCTGAACGAGAACCCAGGTGGAGAACCAGCAAACCCTGCGATGTTCTTCGACTCCTCCACGAGGCGGCTTGGCAAAACAGGGCAAAGAAAGCAACGCGCAGCATCAATTTAGGGTTTAGGGTGACCATACTATGACAATCGACGATGCTGGTAGCCCGTGTCTTCCGCGGCTTGGGCATGCCCAGAAACCCATATCGAAACCCTAAAGCCTAAGCCTTATACAAGCCCTTTGCCGCAAACCCTAAACCCCTGAACCCTCAACCCTAAACCCTAAACCCTAAACCCCTAAACCCTAAACCCTAAACCCCTAACCCTCCGAGGCCTTCTGCCTAACTCCTAAACAGGTGTTGAGCCAGCCGAAGCCGGAGGAGGTCGGCCGTTTATCGATGAAATTTCGGGTTCTTTTAGGGCTTAGGGTTTAGAGTTTACGGTTCTTCTTAGGGTTCCTTCAAATTTATTTTTGAGGGTTTCCGTATCCGGGAGTCCTTTCAGACGAATCGTGCCATTTCGGATAAAGCATAAGGGCCTGAAGAACGACTAGGGTTGGGGCATGTTACAGTATAGCTGCACTAAAGAGCCACAAGGAAGAGTATTAAGTCAGTATTGGTAACCACAAAAAGGAATGGCATGAACCCTGTATAAGACAAGAAAAGGATTTTAGAAGTGCTACTACGAGGGCTTAGGGTTTAGTATTAGTAGTACTATGCCTGGGTTGTCTCTATGCCTTGGTTCTTGATAAGGAGCTAAAGTGCAGTTGCCATGATAAGGAAACCATATTGGGGTTCAGGGCCTGGGGTCCACAGGTTGCCAGAATAAGGGTTTTGGGGTTTGGGGTTCTTGTTAAGGTTTAGGGTTTAGGGTGTAGGGTTTAGGGTGTAGGGTTTAGGGTTTTAAGGAGCTTATGTAGTTTTATGACGATAGGGAAACCATACTATTTACCATGGACCCCCGTTGTAACACTTAGCTTGACTTAAGTTCCCTGACAAGAACTCCGGAATAGCATTACTAATCCTAAACTCAAAGTCTTTCTAGTAGCCCAAATAGTATCCTTGCAGGAACCCGAAAAGCGGTTGATGATATAGGTCTTGCATTACCCATAATAAAGAGTATATACCAGAATTCCCACAGTTTCGGGTCCTTTAAGGCCATGCAGGATTTATATCATCAGCAGTAGCACCCTCAACCCGAACACCCACAGCCTAAAGACTTAAAGACTATTAGACCCTAATCGAGGGGCCTTAATAATTACCTATACTATTTTCGGGGGCTCCTTATTAAAATTATAGTATCATATACCCCAAAACCCCATACCCTAAACCCTAAACCCTAAACCCTAAACCCTAAACCCTAAACCCTAAACCCTAAACCCTAAACACCCTAAACCCTAACCCCCGAAGAAAAGTTGGAGGTCTTGACGACCTTGGAGCAGCTTCAAGACTTCGCAGCGGGCGCTGGGCTCCCCGACCCGCTGACGGGGCGAAGCTCCCTGCATCTGGCGGCGCTCTATGGCCACCAGGAGATTGTAGGTTGGGGTTTATGGTTTAAAGGCCACCAGGAGAGTATAGAGTTTAGAGTTTGGAGCTGAGGGTTTAGGGTTTAGAGTTGGGAGCTTGGGGTTTAGGGTCTAAAGGCACCAGGAGAGTATAGGGTTTAGAGTTTGAAGCTTAGGTTTTAGGGTTTAATGGCCACCAGGAAAGTAGAGGGTTTAGATTTGGGAGCTTGGGGTTTAGTGTTTAGTGGCCACCAGGAAAGTAGAGGGTTTAGAGTTTGGAGCTTAGGGTTTAGGGTTGAAAGGTTAAGGGTTAGGGCTTAGGTTTAGAAGGGTAATGGGTAAACCCCGAGCCTTGAGCAGGTAATGCAGAAGCCTGCATGTTGACCAATACTAATCCTTAGCAATTCCCAAAGGCTCCATGTACATTTATAGTAGATACTTAGGCCTTAGAGGGGTCCCTATGTAGGTACTTTAAGGCCTAAGTATCTACTATAAAGGTACATGGAGCCTTAGGGATTACAGTACAAGATTTGTCAAGTGACACCCTATGCTACTTATTGGGGAGTCTGCATTATGGGGTTTGACTTTGCAAGGCTTTAATCGGTGTCTGTACGGTTAGTGGGGCTTTGGGTGTTGGGTAGGTAGTCTGCAGTGTTCAAGTGCTCACTTGTCGGCGATGCCTAGAACAGCTCCTGGAGGATCATGGGACCGAGCGAGCAGGATTATAAGTACTTCTATTGGGTTTTAAAGCAATTGTAAGTACAGTTGCCTTACTTAAAACCCAGGCTACCGAGTTCCATGATCCTTGAGGTACTGTTGATGACATAAATCCTGCATTACCTTAAGGACCCTAAGCTATGCGAATTACCGTACATTCCTTGTTATGGGTACTGCAGGACCGATATCATCAACCGTAGCATTCCCTAAACCCTAAACCCTAAACCTTACAAACCTTAAACCCTAAACCCTACAAGCCCTAAACCCTAAACCCTAAACCCTGAACCGTAGCAGGCCCTTCACCCAAGCTTGCAGAGCCGACTCCTCGCCCGTGACAGTGATAAGAACACCAGAGACCTGCTTCGACAAAGTCTGGCATGCTCGCCTAGGCCTAAACCCTACCTTAACCTACCAAAACCCACGTTTTTGTAGATCTTACTGTAGACCCTAATATGGGATTTATAGGGACCCCACAAAAAAGTAGGTTCTGGTGGGGTTAAGGTAAACCCTAAGCCCTAAACCCTAAACCTTAAACCCTAAACCCTAAGCCTCTTTGCGTTTCTGTTCAGGTTGCGTCTAGGCACGACTCTCCCCTCTCTCGCTCCGTCTGTCTGCCTTGCTGTCTGTAATATAGGGGCCTTACTAATTAGAATAGGGCATTGGGGTATATCATACTGTAAATAAAATAAGGAACCCCAAAATAATATAGGTGATTGTTACGGCCGCTATATTACGTCAGTCAGTCAGCCACCCAGCCAGCCAGCCAGCCAGCCAGCCAGCCAGCCAGCCAGCCAGCCAGCCAGCCAGCCAGCCAGCCAGCCTGTATGCCTGCCGTTGTGTGTCCTCTCGCGTTCTCAAGACTGTCCCGAGGAGGCTGTGGCGATTTTGCTGCGACACAGGTGCCTGCTGCTGACAACCAGCATTTTGCTTCTTTTACTTGTTTTAAACCCTAAGCCCTAAACCCTAAACCCTTTCTGTGTCACGGAACAGCTGTGAAAGCAGCCCAAACGCGAGCATCCCTAGGTGTGACCCGTTGAAGACCGACATCCTTGGCAGAACAGCCCTGCATCTCAGGCATACTTGGAAATGGATTTTTGATGCGTGGTTTAGGGTTTATGGGTTTAGGGTTTAGGGTTTAGGGGTTTAGGGTTTGTGGTGATTATTACAATCCAGAAGACCAGCTTTTTCATTTTTTTGCGTGGGTGCCAAGTTCAGTAAAGGCATGTTGCAGCAGCGCGAGGGCATGTGGAATGCAGCAGCCGAGATTTGCAGCCGAGCAAGTTCTCAGTTTCCGTCTGACTTCTTGGACGTTGTCAGCTTCTCATGAGTACGAATAATATGGTGCTACATGATGTCATACTGTATTATGTTATGCTATAGTCTATCATCTTGTTCTCTTCTACTCTACTTCATTCTAGTCTATTTTATTCTATTCTCTTCTCTTCTCTTCTATTCTATTCTATTCTATTCTATTCTATTCTATTCTATTCTATTCTTTTCCATTCTGATGTACGATAGTACAATAAGTTGATATGGTATACTAGTATAGTATAAAAATAGTTTTTGTATTATGTATGATACAGTAGTATAATCTAGTAGTAATATACTAAGATATGGTATAATACAACATATCATAACAGAACCTACGATGTAGTACGAGATTGTACTGTGTTGTATTGTACTTCATTACATAGTGTTCTTTTTTCATTTGGTATATTATCTTGTAATGTTATATCATGTTTTGTTATACCACACTATATTGTAGTTCACGATACAAGGTAATATAATGTAACATAGTATAATCTTATATGTTATCTTACTGTGCTATATCATATTATATTTTATTGCAGTACATTGTATAATACTACACTAAATGATGGTAAGATGTATTATATTTTAGTACATTATAAATTGCCGCATTGTAAGACATCTTATAACGTGTTTTATATGTTCTTGCTGTGCTTACATGTTTATATGTAATGCTGCACTATACAATGTTAGATGATGCTGTAGCGTAGTATAGTATAGTGTAGTATAGTACAGTTGAGTATAGTATAATGTAGTGTAGTATAGTATAGTAAGATATATTACCATCTAAAATATTGACCTTAAACCCTAAACCCTAAACCCTAAACTATATTGTAATTCTGTGCTTAGTCCTGCCCCGAGGCAGAGCCATTCTCCGGCATTCGTTCCAGGAGCTTCCCCTGGGAACAGGTTTGGTACTTGTCCCTTGGGGCTTGATGTGCAAATCCCACAGCAAGCCACAACACCTTATAAGATAGCGTTTAGGGTTTAGGGTTTAGGATTTAGGGTACCCGGATCATACAGGAAAAGCCTCGTAAAGCACCAAGCATGAATTATACGGGTCAGAATAGCTCCAAGCGCTTCGCGGCGTCCGCCTCGGCCGGGCAGCAAGTGAAGAGTCGTTGGCATTGGTGCAGGCTAAACCCTAAACCCCAAACCCTGTTCTAGTTCTTAAGGCCCCTACCTAAAACCCTAGACTCTAAACCCTAAACCCTAAGCCTGAAACCCTAAACCCTAAACCCTGTTCTAGTTCTTAAGGCCCCTAAAAGTAGACCGCGGTTTGCAGGACGGTGGCGCCAGGGCCCTCCTCGCAAAGGAGGCCTAGACGAACGGGGCAGGGGCAAGGTGAAGCGAGTTTTTTTGCAAGCGGTTTAGGGTTTAGGGCTTTGGGTTTAGGGTTTAGGGTTGAGGGGATTAGGGTTCAGGGTTGAGGGGATTAGGGTTCAGGGTTGAGGGTTGAGGGTTGAGGGTTAGGGTTGAGGGTTGAGGGTTTAGGGTTTAGGGTTGAGGGTTTAGGGTTTAGGGTTGAGGGGATTAGGGTTTAGGGTTCTTGGGGTTTACGGTTGGGCCGGCCCCCCCGAAATGGCAGCTTCTTTCAGGACGTCTTTGGCGACACACCTTTGATCGCAGCGGAGAAGAACGCACAGCACGACGTGGCCTCCATCCTCGAGGATGCGGGGAGCCCTACATCGAAGCCTCGTTTAGGGTTTAGGGTTTAGGGTTTAGGGTTTAGGGCGTGAGGCACAATATAAGGGAACCTCAAAGCTTTGGTGCTCTTAGGAGTTCTTTTAAGTTCTTGCTAAACTAGCAATTCAGGGGATCGATTTTCGAACAACATGTTCAAATTAGGGTTCTAAGGGCGCTTAAGAAAAATGAACCCCAATGTGCAAGAAGCGGGAGACAGAGCAGGATGAGCTGATCGAGAGTGTCCTCTAAACCCCCACAAGCCCTCAGCGCTGAACCCTAGACCTGTTGATCTACAACTCCATCACTCTGCTGACTACTAGCAGTTGCCTCTAAACTCGTCCTTTCAGATCACGAGATGAGGCACCGAATTGAGCGAAGCAACTCTCCTTTCGCGCAACAGCACATGTAAAGTGGGTTTAGGGTTGCGGGTTTGAGGGTTTGGAATAAGTTGTGATGAAGATTGCTTTCGGTACTGTACATGTGATACGGCTGTTTCCTTCATCGAGAGCGCCTAGCACTGAAGCCCTTTACACATCGCGTGCTGACGTATGACCCAAGGGCTTACAATTGCGTAGCCTCGCCTGGAAGCAAACAACGAGACATAACTCATACGGTTGATGATATAAATCCCGCATTACCCATAAGAAGGAGTATACCAATTTCCCATAGTTTAGGGTCTTCAAGGTAATGCAGGATGTACATCATCAACAGTAGCTCTCGGCCGGGGAATTCTGCAAAGCCTGAACCCTGAACCCTAAACCCTAAACCCTAAACCCTAAACCCTAAACCCCTAAACCCCTAAACCCCTAAACCCTAAACCCCTAAGAGTGTTCCTTCGAGGCGGAGACCCCGCGCCTCTGGATGTTGTGTGAAGAGGAAGAGCAGCGAAAAGATGAAGAAGACGCGAAGGAGAGGTTTAAAGGGTTTAGGGTTTTGGGGGGTTTAGGATTTAGGGTTTAGGGTTTAGGGTTTAGGGTAAGGTCTGAAGAGTTTAGGGTTTAGGGTTACAGAAGCCTAAGAAGTTACCAGTTGTTATTCTCTACTCCTTATGAGAATTATAGTGTAGTGTACCCCCGAAGCCCTACTCTAGTTATTAAGGCCCCTATATTAAGCTGTATATTACAGGATTGGGGCTGCAGTTTAGGCCTTACTGTGTCGGATTTGTGATATATGGATTAGGGTTTAGGGTCGAATATAGTGGCTTCAAAAAAAATCAGCAAATAGTATCCCTATCATAGCTGTAATACAATATACCCTAAAACCGTAGTTTAAGTTTCGAGGCTTCAGGTTTCGGGTTTAGGGTCTATAAAGCCTCAAGCTCTATACCCTAAGTAAATGAAGGCCTCCTGTGACTTCGTAAAGCTTGACACTGCGGTTGAGATTATAAGTCCTGCATTACCCATAATAAGGACTATACCATCATTCCTTTAGTTTAGGGTCCTTAAGGTAATGCAGGAATATACAGTAATTCTCATAGTTTAGGGTCTTTAAGGTAACCCTAAACCCTAAACCCTAAGCTTTGAACCCGAAACCCTGAACCCTAAACCCTAAACTCTAAACCTTATATCTTCAACAGTGGGACACCTTTCTGGGGTTTCGGGGCCAGTCTTGAGTTCCTCCACTAGAGATGAGCGTGTTTAGGGTTTTAGGGTTTAGGGGGTTCAGGGTTTAGGGTACAGGGTTTAGGGTTTAGGATATAGGGTTTCGGGGGTTCAGGGTTTAGGGTTAAGGGTCAGTGATGAGCATGTTTCTTGAAGGTTTAAGGGCTCCCGTAGTAGGGTTGAGGGTTCCTTTAAGGGTTTCTTTGAAATGGTTTGCTATTGTTGTTGTTGTTGTTGTTGCTGTTCCTTTTGCCACCCTGACTGTTGTTACAGGCATCTTTTTTCGGAAGTCTTAATAAAACTTGATGCCAGACCCTGGATACTACATGGTATATTCCTTAACTATGGGGAAGCATTGAGCAAATGCCCACAAAGTTTGCGCACATGCCGACGATTCGCGGGGGTTCGCGATAAAACATGCATTACCTCGGGCCGTTTTTCCTTATGCTATGGATTCCTATATGGTATCTGAACCCAAAATGGATACATTTCGTCCGCAAGGTAGGCCAGGCCAGGCCAGGCCAGGCAGGGCTTTGGTTTCGGCTCGGGGGGTGCTTTAACAGACTGACCCGAGTGAGTTCGCTTGAGGGCGTAGGATTTACGGTTTAGGGTTTAGGGTTTCAGTAGGGTTCAGAGAGTTTAGGTTTTAGGGTTTAGGGCTCAGAAGGTTCAGGATGCAGGGTTAGGCTTCAGGGCTCCAATGGAAGTAAAAAGCGTTTCCTGGTGTGGGCTCTGAACCCTAAACCCTATACCCTAAACCCTATACCCTAAACCCTATCCCCTAAACCCTAAACCCAAAACCCTAGACCCTAGACCCCATACCCTAAACCCTAAACCCCAAGCCCTACACCTAACCTCTAAACCCTACACCCGGAAGCCCTAAACCCCAAACCCCCAGCCCTACACCTAAACTCTAAACCCGAAAGCCCTAAACCTCAAACCCTAAACTCTAAACCCTAAACTCTAAACCCTAAACCTTAAACCCTCGGCCCTGCACCCTAAACCCGAAAGCCCTAAACCCATCCTGCTCAGCCCAAAGAGCAGGAAAAGATGCTCCTTGCCAAGCTCGATGAGGTGGGCCGTGGTCGAAATGCAGGTTCTGCCTGAGATTTTTTTGGGGTCTGGGGTTTGGGGTTTACAGATTGCAGGGTTTAGGGTTTGAAGTTTAAGGCTAGGGTGGAAGGTTGAGCAGGATTTTCAAATCCATATATATATATATATGGATTTATACGTATGCTGTGTATATACAGATATATATATATATATATCTGTATATACATATACATATATATATACATACATACATATATATATATATACACACACCTATACCTATTTATTTATCCATACAACTATATATATATATATATATACACACACATATATATGTATGTATATATATATATGTATGCATATATACATATATA